GGCCGGGGCTCCACTCTCCCCAGCGGCCAGAGCGCCGGGAGGAGGGCTCTCCCCAGCGGCCGGAGCACCGGGGGGAGGGTGGCGAGCTAGCCAGGGCTCCGCTCTCCCCGGCAGCCGGAACGCCGCAGGGAGGGCAGCGAGCCCAGTCGCGGCCCCCCTCTTGGGCCGGAGCGCCGCGCCGGCCCCCTCCAGGTGCCGCCCCAAGCACATGCTTGGTGGGCTGGTGCCTGGAGCCGGCCCTGAAGGGGAGTCAGCATAAGCTTTACCTTCTTCTTCTTCTTCTTCTTCTTCAAGGAATCTCTGCCATGCATGAGGAGCAGTACAGGAAAGAGTACAGAGGTGTTTGTAGGAGGCATTGACTAATAGGCAGTGAAGTTTGGGAACTCGGGCATTGGGAAACTTGCAGCGAACAATGCAGTGAGCTAATAGATATAACAAATACCATGGAGTTAAGTTCCTTTAAAGTGAGGACAAGAAGCTTATATCTGGTGGAAGGTGGAAGGGGAGTCAATGGAGAGACTCAAAGAAAAGGGGGACATCTTGAAATCAAAGAACAAGGAAAAATATTTTGGCAGTAGCATTTTGAATGGACTCAAGGTGGGCAAGTTTACAGTAGTCAAGACCTAAGAGGAGGAGATGACAGTATTCAGGACATGAGAGATAAGGGCCTAGATGAGAGTTTTGTGAGCCTGGACAGAGAGAAGGCTGGATCTTGGAGATTTATGACAACTGTGGATACAGCCTGGATATAAGGGCTTATAGAGAGGGCTGAGTGATTGGGAGGATGGGGGTATCAATGGCAACCAAGAAAAAGGGAAGAGGACAGGGCTTTGGGAGGGGAGATGAGGAGCCAACTGTGGATTTGGTTTGGTTTTTTTTAAGATGGGGGAGTCTGAGCTTGTATTGTGAGGTGAATGAAATTGGGTATGATGGAAGGTTTTTCTTACTAAGGAAGTGCAGTCAGTCTTCCTTTGGCAGCAATGGCAGATTTCACTTTGTTGGCAAACTGGATGGCATCTTTCCCCTCCTCCACAGGATACAAATTAAGTGCTTTACAACTAATGCATGTTATCCTTTTTTCATTTTAAGAGCTGCTGCTTGCTAGAGAATGTCTGATGACAGCCTCTTTAGACACACATGAAGGCTTTTATTATTTCCAGTGAAGGTCTATTCTGAAAAGTCAGTCTATAAAAACGTTTATGATCTCTCAGTGATTCCATATCAGATTTGCTCCATTTACAAGAAAGGATTGTTTTCCAGGATAGGTTTCTTCAGGCAAATGCATCATTACTACAAAGAGCAAAGTCTATAGAGCATATTCTGTCCCTAGTACAATTGCCTTATTTTCTTCAGATGATGTCTTTGGTTGCCTTTGTGCCACCTTGTAGCTTTTAGAGAATGCTCTCAACTACAATTGTGCCACCCATTGTCTTCAATAGGATTGCCTAGGTGTAAATAAGGGCCAAATTAAATCTTATATTTGGGGCCTGATTCTTATTTACATTAAGGTCCACTTACACTGCTGTAGCAATGTAAAGGGGCCTTAAAGTCAGGTGTGTATCTATGTTTCTCCCTTTCCCCAGGAATGTTGCATGCATGACTCTTCCTAGTAAATGTAGACTCTGTGGCCATACATTGAAAGACACATGTCCAATGCAAACTCAGACAAGAATAACTGGAATTAATGTAACAGAAAAAATAGAAGTAGAAAAACATTTTCTACTCCAGTGTTCAAAATATGTGTGATTGTGAGAAGGGTTTTTCATCAAATTATCAGTAACAATAAAAGCTTTCATCCAAAAGGAACAAGGGAACTTTAGGCATAAACCTGTGAGAAACGAAAGAAATGGCAGAAAGAGCACACTAGCAATCTATCACAGAATAAGGAACGGCTACCCATGACAAATGGACCGGGGGTACACCGTGCCCGCTCCACCCACCCCAAAGCCTGGTGATCCCTTATCCTGGGAACATTGTATTTACCTCTGACCAATACCAGAGCCATCCATCCCTCCTTCGCACTTGACAACACTCCCATGCCTTATGACAATGCATTATTGATGCAAATTTTATTTCTCCCGTTTCTCCACAAGACAGTGTGTGTTTCTCCTGCAAATAAGTGTGTTTGTGCACAGCAGAAGACTGTATCTTTCCTCGTGGGGGCAGAGAAGAGGGAGTTCCCAAGAAAGATCTGTAACCGCCTTTCATGACCAGCAGGGGGCATGTGTGTGTGCCCCCCCACACTTTCCCAAGCAGAATATATGTACCCCCTAATTTTTTTCTTCAGCTGTAGGAGGTGTGGGTGTGTGTTTCCCCATCCTCTTCCCCCAGTAGAGAGGGGTACGTTTCACGTATATATGATACATGGTAGGTTTCAGGTCAGGCTTCTGAACCATACATGGACCTACTACAGAGTTTCCTTCCCAGAGAGATACACCAGAGATGTGTTAACTATAAGATCCTTTTCAGGTACTGCCAGGTAGGGCTGAGGTTAGCTTAAAATTAAATAAGGGTATGTCTACATTACCCGCCAGATTGGCGGTCAGCAATCGATCCAGCGGGGATTGATTTATCGCATCTAGTCTAGACGCGATAAATCGAGCCCCGAGTGCTCTCCCATGGACTCCTGTACTCCAGTGCTGCGAGAGGCGCAGACAGAGTCGACGGGGGAGCGGCAGCAATTGACTCACTGCGGTGAAGACACCACGGTAAGTCTATCTAAGTACATCAACTTCAGCTACGTTATTCACATAAAGTTGCGTAACTTAGATCGATTCCCCCGCCCCGTGTAGACCAGGGCTAAGGTATGTTACACACCGTGCTAACTAGTAGCGGAATGGTATAATACAGTTTAGCATTCCCTACAGTACTTACAGTATATGTGTGAGGTGTGTGTGTCCCCACCCCACTTCCCCAGCAGTATGTGTATGCGTGCATGCGCAAGCACCCCCCACAGGGGGATTATGTGTGTGTGTGTGCGCGCGCCCCCGGAGGGCAGTATGTGGGTGTGCCCCCAGCAGAGAACTGGGGGTATGGTGTTTGGATATGTGGGGGGGTGCCCCCGGTACAGGTTTCTGTGTGTGTTTGGGGGTGTGCCCCCCCCCCGCAAAGGGCTTGTGTGGAGGGGTGCCCCTAGCAGGGGGCTGCGTGCAAAAGTGTTAGAATTAGGGGTGCTGTGGGTGCTTGAAGTGGTTTCCATTATACACAGCGAGTGATTAGAGTTTGGTTCAATGGCTCTCAGCATCCACACTATACACATTGTTCCAAGGCCAATGGTTGTGTGTGGGGATGCCCAAGAGCTGTGCCTGTGTGTGTGTCTACATGTCCCCCAGCACGTCGGTATGTACATGTGCCCCCAGCAGAGCACTGTGTGTATCTGTGTGTACGTGTGCCCCTGGCAGAACGCGGTGTGGGTGTTTATGTGTGCCTCGGGCAGAGTGCTGTGTGTGTACGTGTGCCCCTGGCAGAACGCGGTGTGGGTGTTTATGTGTGCCTCGGGCAGAGTGCTGTGTGTGTGTACGTGTGCCCCTGGCAGAACGCGGTGTGGGTGTTTGTGTGCCTTGGGCAGAGGGCTCTGTGTGTGCGTGTGTACGTGTGCCCCTGGCAGAACGCGGTGTGGGTGTTTACGTGTGCCCCCGGCAGAGTGCTGTGTGTGTATGAGTGCCCCTGGCAGAACACGGACTGAGTGTGTATGTGTGCCCCCGGCAAAGCACTGTGTGTGTGTACATGTGCCGCTGGCAGAACACGGTGTGGGTATGGGTATGTATGTGTGCCCCTGGCAGAGCGCTCTGTGTGTGTGTGTGTGTGTGTACATGTGCCCCCAGCAGAGCACTGTGTGTGTGTGTACGTGTCCCCAGCAGAGTGCTGTATGTGTGTACGTGTGCCCCCAGCAGAGCGCTCTGTGTGTGTGTGTGTACGTATGTACCCCCAGCAGAGGGGTGTGTGTTTACATGTGCTCCCAGCAGAGCAGTGTGTGTGTGTACGTCTGTCCCCAGCAGAGCACTGTGTGTGTACGTATGTGCCCCCAGCAGAGCGCTGTGTGTACGTGTGCCCCCAGCAGAGCGGGTGTGTGTGTGTACGTGTGTCCCCAGCAGAGCGCTGTGTGTACGTGTGCCCCCAGCAGAGCGCTCTCTGCGTGTGTATGCCCCCCTTTCCCCCCGCCAGCCCGCGGGTGCCATTTCCCCTCTGGGCACTAGGGGTCTCTCACGCGGCGGCCCAGCGCTGCCATTGTTGCTCCGGCCCGCGGCCACTCAGGCCCAGGCGGCAGGCGCCGCCGTGGGGAGCATGGAGGGGGAGAGCACCTCGGCCCTGCTCTCCGGCTTCGTCTTTGGCGCCCTCGCCTTCCAGCACCTCAACACCGACTCGGACACTGTGAGCCGCCAGCACCGCCCCGGCCCCCGCCGCCTCGGCCCGGCCGCGGCCCCCGCCCCAGCGGGGACAATGGCACATGGGGGTGGCCCGGGGGAGCGCCTGGGGCCCGGAGGAGAGGGGAGGCGGGGGCCTGGGTGGGATGGGGGGTCTGCCTCGGGGGGGTTGGGTGGGAGATTATTTGAGGTTGAGAAGCGGGTTTTCATCCCCTCCCCTCACACACGCGGCTCCCGAGTTTCCCCTGGGCGGGGGAGCCGCCGCTGGGTGTCAGTGACTTCCCCTGGTTTCACTTTCACTACATGCTGCCTGGCTTACTCCAGCCCCTCTCTTGCTGGCTACAGTTTAACAGCCACAGCCCCCTCCCTATGGATGTAAATAACTGTGTGTAAAGTGCGTCTGTCTAGACCTACTGCCTCCCCCTGCTGGCCCCCCGGGGCAGGGGTCTGCGAGGGGGGCAGAAATCCTTTGGGGATTGATTTCAAGGCACAGTTTAAAATACAGTAAAGCACTTTGCTTTGTGAAAGGGAAGGGTTTTACTCCCTGTGTTTCAATGAGGTATTTACAACAGCCCTCTTTTTTTTAAAATCTCCCTCACTTCAGATGTCACCACAATTTGAAAGCAGCCCCTGCTTACGTAGGTAGTAGCAATGATGTGGTTATAATGATGATAGAGAGGTAGGCTTCCATCCTGTACATTGATCAGTATAGGCAGACTCTTGTGCCCATGCAGAAGGCTGAAGATCTAAGTACATGGATGTGATTGCAGGATCAGGGTTTAAGTTATTTCCAGAGGTGCAACATTCTGCCCCCCCCCCCCCAAAATTACACATTTGTGCTGAAATGTATTTTATTTCTGGGGAAAAAGACATGTGAAATGCTTTTCTGCCCAGGTTGTAGGAAATTTTCTGGGCTCTTAGGCCTTGTCTACACTACGAGAGTAGTTCGATTTTACTAGCATAAAATTTTTGTAATCGATA